AACTGTTTTGTGATCTGCGCTCCAGGTAACCCACATAGGTACGAATTGGACAGATGCATGTCTTCCTAGCGTTTCCCCACTATATCTACAGCGAGGTTTCCCGTAACAAGTGAATATTCTTCGATCAGCATAACGAATAATGCCCTGACGATTCCAGGTGCTTTTGTAATGTTGAGCTCATCCCGTATACTCATCATACACTTGTGATAGCAAATAGCTTTATACGAATGAGCAGAGTACTATGATTCTTTTGTTTCTCAAATAATATTCATTTTTAAAGAAGTGATGACTATGCGACTCTCTATGGTGGAGCGATCCGCCGCACAGTTTTCCATACAAATTCATGTTTTGCTTCCACAAGCGATAACGTCGTGTTTGAGCTTACGCGAAATACATTTTTCGAATTTTTTTTCAAAAAAACGCTCAGATATGCTAGCAGGACTGCAGTCGTCATTTTGCTTTGCATTATTTTCTTAATTTGTGTTCCTCGACGGAGAAAGTTTGCACTGAAATGAGAGGCGAGTGATGCTCAGAAATAGCCTTATCCAAAAGAAAACTAAATTTAAGGCCTTTAACCGTATAGGGTTATTTCATCAAATGATCGGGTAAGAGCAAAAGACGAACTAGGCGCATTTCACATGGGCAACGATAAGAAGCCAAAACTGGCGAATAACAGCGTCATGGGCTTTCAGTGACAATTTCTTTTCAAAATGAAGAATTATCTTAAACCTTCCGACAAAAAGCTCTTTCCTTAGCTTCTGTGAGACGTTAATGATGAACAACGGTTTTCCGTTAGCCAACCCCAAATATATGAAAATATTATGTATGTAAACCAGAATGGTTTTGAGAGGAGTTATCAGAAAAAAGAGTTGCGATGCACACTATTAACACATATGCAGGTTACTGAAACAAAAGTTCGAGTAATTTTATTATGTTCGTTGATTCAGACTGCCTGATTACGTGCAGGAAATAAAGATGGTGCCGCATTTTGATGATCGCCATCCGTTAATTGATTCTCCAGCTTTACGGAGAAGAGTTAGCGTCGTTCCCGTTACACAGTAAGTCACTGTTCTCGAGTCTTTGATCAAATAAAATTGGATTATTAAGGCAAGAACATAGACAAAATCGACCATCTATAGGCTCCTTGGAAATGTTCAGGAGCTTCAAAAACAAATTGGGAAGGTACGATTCTTGTTGTTTTCTCTTATAGCTGCCTGAATTAAAAGTGCCTCAGATCTTTATCGCGTGGACAGCTTGATGACGAAGAACAACCTCGGAAAGCAGTGTCTCATGGACATCTTCCGGTTCTCGATATTACTAAAGTTGAAGGAGACACACAAATCGACGAGAAATCGTTCATCAACTCCGCGTTCATTGAAACCAGCAAGTTTTGCACAGCTTGATTTTGTAAAATCGGCGAATTTTGGCACTATTTTTGGTTTTCAGAGGATGAACTTGGCCAAAAAGATGGAACCAAAGGAAAGGAAGTAAGAAAATCAGCTTCTACGGCAGCTTTGAAATCCCCACAC